TCCCGCCGCTCGCTCGGCATCATCTCCGGCATGACCGGCGCCGGCGTCAACTTCGGTGCCGGGCTCACGCAGCTATAGTTCTTCACGTCGTCGAGGTACTCCACGGGCACGGGGCAGGAGTACATGGGCATCATGATCATGGCGTGCACGCTGCCGTGTCCGTGAAGCTCCACGTCATCGAGGTACTCCACGGGCACGGCGCTACCAGTACCAGCTCGTTGGCGCCGGCGAGCGCCGCCGACAGCCCACGCCCACCGCCCGTCCTCGCCGTGCGCACTGCGCGAGAGAGAGAAGACAGAGAAGGAAGAGCGGAAGAAGAGCATGACAGGTGGGTCCCACCCTTTTTTATTAAATAAAATGCTGACTAGATTGCCACGCGTGTGCCACGTTGGATAAAACCGCTCTGGATTAGGTCGAGGTGGGTAATTTGTCCGGTATTGAAAGTTCAAGGTGGACGATGACAGGTTTTCGGGTTTATGGGGTAATTTGGAGGACCGCGATAGTTCGAGGGGGTAATTCGCACTTTTTCCTTACATAAAAATAAAATAGAAGTAAAGGACAAGATATTAAAGAAATGGCTTACCATACATGGGCTGCAACTCAGGCTTGGCTTGGTGCCCTGGCCTTCCAGCGCCGTGTATTAACATCAGTAGAGAGTATCTGACCATACAGGGCCTTTAAAATTTAGAGACAATAAATTTTAGTTTTAAATTCAGTCTGTTCTAATATCTTTGAGGATAATTGCGTTCTACTACCTCCGTCCTAAAATATAACAACTTTTGGCTATAAATTTAGACATACAGTTGTCCAGATTCATAGCCAAAATGCTTATATTTTGGGATGGAGGGAGTACTTTTTAACTGATCTTGCTATGAATAGGGTTTACAAAATCGTGTGATTATCACTATTATCACGTCCAGCAATTTTCTTAGTTTTTAATCACTATAAACCTTGTGGTAACCGCACGGTTTTCATAGTAACCACGCTGTTATCGTGATAACCGTCTCACTGTGAGGTGATGGTAACCACATCCAAAACGATTTAGGGCTTGTTTAGTTGGCAAAAAATTGTGCCCCTGCATATCACATCGGATATACGGACACATATTTGAAGTATTAAATATATTCAAATAACAAAACAAATTACAGATTCTGCCAAGAAACTACGAGATGAATTTATTAAGCCTAATTAATCCATCATTAGCAAATGTTTACTGTAGCACCACATTGTCAAATCATAGCGCAATTAGGGTTAAAAGAATTGTCTCGCAATTTCCTGGCTAACTGTGTAATTGGTTTTTTTTCTACATTTAATACTGCATGCATGTGTCCAAACATTTAATGTGATGGCATGAAAAATTTTATTTGGAAACTAAACAGGCCCTTGGTGAACCCTGGCTATGAGTCGGGCTAAGGCTAGCTAGGAGAGCCTCTCACGTTAGAGCCACACAATCATCATTGTAGGTCAGGGGTTCCTCATCCAACTCACACGTGATGTATGCATGTATGCTTCCTCGATGAAACAAACACATGAAGAACAGCGGAATAAAGACAAAGTAGGAACTAATAAGTGATAGCCTTGGCCCTTGACCGGGTAACTACTTGCTAGGTGACTCCATGTATGCAAGAATGCATGACCACCTACCAAATTAAACGCGGGTGGCTCGGAAGAATTGGATGAAGAATTTCATGTCATTCATTGCGGAGTACTATATAAATTGAAGGGTATAGATGGATGAAAAAAAACAGGATTTGTATGGTTAATTAGCACTTTGAAATTAAGGTAGGACTGTTGTGAGATAGTGGAGATAGAACTGTTGTGAGATAGTGGAGCGAAACAAATCTTACGCTAGATGTAGACATGTGTGTTGTGCTCCATATGCTCTCTTCTTTAATACTCCTTACACCATCTAGCAGCTGGGTTCTGCTTTGTTATTTAATAGGAGAATACTATCACACCGAAAACTATATAATCGATAGTAACTGGCTTGGCCTGTTGATTCTTCATGTGATCGGGATCTTTTCTCTTGGAGAAAATGGCATATCTATTCCTTGCTTCTTGATAGTTTAGTTTCTCTTTAAGATTGTCGCGTCTTAGTTTTATTGGTCCCGAATTTTGGAGGTTTTGATCTGGAAGGACTGTTTTGATTTGTTCCCCAATGGATGCTAATTGTTGTTGTGTTCATGGCAATGGCGTTGTTCAGTTGGCTGTAGCATTGGCGTTGCTGACCGTTGTTGAGTTGGTCCATGGCGGCAGCGATGGGTGGCGATGGGCACCGGGTTGCGCCCGTCACCAAGTTCGGCGATGGCAACACGCTCAACACCCTGCCATTTCAGAACGCCGTCTTCTACGTCCGGTAGTTCACCAACAAGGGCGGCGCGCAGCTCTACGTGCCCAAGGGACGGAGGGTTTACTCTATATGCTCTCTTCTTAAATACTCCTTACCCCATCTAGCTCAGCTGGGTCTTCTACGTCCGGTAGTTCGCCAACAAGGGCGGCGCGCAGCTCTATGTGCCCAAGGGACGGCGGGGTTGCTCCATATGCTCTCTTCTTAAATACTCCTTACACCATCTAGCTCAGCTGGGTTTTGGTTTATTTCTCTATGGTTGGATGCCCATGCACTTCACTTTAGTTGTGCATAGTTGTTACCATTACTTCCGTCCTCGTTACTTTATTTCTCATAGTATTTGTTGATCTTCCATATTTAATAGGAGAACACTATCACAACCAAAACTATATAATCGATAGCGGTTGTCGCATAAGACCGACGGTAATCTCCGAGTTGTATTATGATTTATGAAATTGAGGCTTTTATTTTACTAATATTTTTAATTATGATTTTATTTTATTTGTTCTCCGCATCTTAAATCTTTTTCTTTTTGTTAAAATCTATGCTACGAGGGTTAATTTGTTGGGTTTTCCTAATCTATAGGCTCTCGCTTCAATGGAACAAATGCAACTGAAGTTAACATGAATTCCACTTATACATATAACCTTTCCCTTTTTCCTAAAAATGTGGTTACATGCATATTAACATGGTAATTTTCATGATGGTCTATAGAGGTAGCACAATTTATGTAAGCATTTGTCTTATTTTATCTAATGAATAATTTCTATTTATACTATAGCTTCAATTAGTTGTGGTAGATTTTTTTTACTTGTAGTATAAATCGATGATTTAGATTGTTCTACTAATAATAAGACTAGTACTATAATACTAGTACTGGTAGAGATCAGGGTTTATCTTAATGGTGGATACCGGAGCAGCCGTGCTTCCCATAGCGGTTCGGTAGCAAAATCAACTGGTAAGTTTCATATGATGTAAAGTTTGTTGTTGTGGATAATAATTTATAAAAGAAATAAATGGTTAAATTACGATATTCAAGATCGATTTTACGTCTTATTCTATATCCGTCCTAAAAAGTGCAATTCTCGATTTTAATTTTGTCCCAAAATAAGTAAAACTTATAGTGCTACTTGTTACTTGTCCCATTAATAACAACTAATTTAAATGTTCTCTAATTTACACCCAACTATCTTCACACTTTCAACCACCCCCCAATTGATAGGGAACAGCTAGATGATTTTCCCTCGTTGTTAATTTATCCTTCTACTCATAAAACTGTATTTATTCTAGGACTGAGGTAATTTTTTAGCATGGAGTAAAGTGTTACGTTCTTTTGTCCGTCATCGTCAATCTCCTCTATTTTTTTCCTTCTCTGAAGATCGCGTATATGTTGCCAGAGATGGTGTCAGTCCCGGTCCTCCATTCGTTGTTTCCCACACGCATGATCACGTAGCACCGGTACGACGCGAAATATAAATATATGTATTTTCTGTAATTCTATGTAAGTGATGTATCACATAGAAATGTTGATCGACTATTTGCATTGGAGAAGTGTATAGGCTGGATAAAAGAATATACAAAGAACGCCAGGAAACAAAATTACGACATCTGAAACAAACTGTGTTCTAGGTTTCAACCACACGGTTGGATCTTCAGATTTGACTACGCGACCTCTGTAACTCATCCAGACACTGCATTAGGAAGGCAAGATGAAAACGAATAGTGCAAAAATCAACCTGTCGTAGTCCACAATTATGCCAATCAACATCTGGTCTCAAGACGTTCAGATGTGGCTAGCTGCAGCTGAACTGCTCGATTAATTGGTACTGATACTGTCCGCTCCATGAGGAAGAAAGCACAAGCCAAGAAACACACCCAAGCAAGCAGGCATGCACCGTCAATCAATTTTCACTTTTTGATTCTGCTCCAATGAAAAATACAGTCTGAAGATTGAAGGAGGGAATGGCCTCTGCAGCCATCACAAGCTGCGTTTTTCTCTTTTCAGTAATGGAGCTACAGTCTCATGAATCCTGACCTCTCTAACCATCACAAGATAATGATTGGTGATAAACTCTTGTGCATCCAAAATATCTCATACTACTAAATTACATTTTGGGACAAATATTTGCAACTATGAAATTAGTATACTTGCATACTGCAATTCATAACGTATGGTACAAATTTTGCAAGAGAATCAAATGTTTCATTTAATCAAATGGCACTCCTACCTTCTCATTATAAAAAACTGAGTATTTTTTTATTAATGGAAATTTTTAAAATCTACATGTGCGAATTAGACCCTTTTTCTGATCGAAAATGTGGAGAGCGAGAAAAGGGCTTCAGAGATCTAATTGTACCGACTTAGCATCTAGCCTGCAACACAATAATCAATCTAGTTTTTCATTATTATTTTTTTTGAGAAACGGTAATCAATCTAGTTTTAATCCTAGAGTATCTAAAGTAGTGAAAAAAGTAAAGTTTTTCACCACCAGAATGTGCCACGTCATCGGATTAAAAATGACCGTCGGATGCAACCATGTGATCAACACGGACCATTGGATTTCGAAGTAACATGAGTAGTCTTCCTGAGTCTTGGACTGAAAAGGCTGGAAGCCTCGTGAATATATAAAGCCCACGTGTCCACGGCCCACCGCACTACTCCCGATCGGTCTCACGGATTTACCCGGCAAAAAAAAAAAAAAAACACAGCCCACACTCCCAATCGCGTGTGCACCACTGCCTCTCTCGTCTTCGCGCTCCGCCCGTATTGCCGTCGCCTCCACTGGCCACCGCCGCCTCCTCGTTTGCACTGCCACCCTCCCACCGCACCTCCCCATCCGCACCACTGCTTCAAATCGTTTCCACCGCAGCGTTTTCCGCCGCCGCCGCTGCCGTGTTTCCCCATTGATCCGAATCACAGCTGCAAAGAACAGAACAAGATCGAGATCGACGATGGTGGATCGAGGTCAAAAATCAGATCGCAAATTCAAGCAGAAGTACTGCAACAAGACTGTCGCCATCTCTTCCTCCCTTGCCCACTGAATCCCATGATCCCATCCCAGGTATCTGGTAATAAGTTACATAATCAATATATCCCATCCCCTCCTATCTGTCTTCCCACGCTGTGGCCTACCACTGCAGATCGGCTCAAATAAAAGAGACGATGCCAAAGATGGAGTGATGAAGAGCGAGGCACAAATTTCTGTATGGCTACAATCATGGTAAATATTACTTCTTCCGTTTCGTATTATAAGACTTTATAGCATTGCCCACATTCATATAGATGTGCTAGAAATGTATAGATTCATTAACATCTATATATAAATGTGGGTAATGGTCTTATAATACAGAACGGAGGAAGTACATTGATTTTCACACTGATAGATGTGTCAGCACACTATAATGAACTGGTGTAGGATCACCATAAATCGTGAGTAATGGTGTGGAGGAAGCAAAGGTCAATAGAATGCATTCGTTCTACTATTTATGCAAAACACTACATCTCATTCTTTCATATATAGGATTTTGAGGCTTTGTGAGTCATATCAAGGATTTGTGGGATTTAAAGATGGGCCTAATTCTTCATTGTTTTTTATTTTCTAGAATAGGCATCGCATCTAGGTAATTATTTGTTGTGCAATGGTCAAGGCAGAATGCAAATGTTGTTATATCTAAAATCACTTCTTTAAGTTAATTAGTAATGCATAACTACATAATCATATGCTTTAAGTAGTGATTCCATCTTCAAGGCCATCCAACAGTAAAATTCAATTATATACTTTCAGGTGCTATTACACAGAAGCAAGACTACTAAATTGCAAGTGGCATGCTATTATACAGTCTCCTTTAACCAAGTTATATAGCAAAACTAACAAGACGTTAAACTTTCATTTAGAGATCGCCAAGGAATTATGTTTGCTCCTTGATATAAAATAATAGGTATTAAAAAAATGAGAGAATAAAAATTGAAAGGGGACCTGAGGTACTACACTTAACGAGACAATTTTGCTCTGAAGCATTTTCAGTTGCGTTGAATTAGAAAAATTATTAGTTGACAACATTAGATGGAATCTAAAGAAGATATTTTCTTACTGAGTTTACCCTTAAAATATTTTTTTCTTCTATGTTGTAACTCTTTTGTATAATCTACTTATGACGTCTCCACCTTAACATCTCATAAGAGAATCAGTCTATTCATATCTTAGTTTTGTTTTTGTTCCAAAACTAAAACTTCAACTACACCTAAATATTCTTTCATTTCAGGGGGAAGAATCATGTTCTTTGAATTGCATCTGCTATCAATCAACAAGCTAGGGAGCTCATAATGTTCTGATGAAGTTACTCGCAGAGGTGGAGCTTACCAACTTCAAAGAAAAGAAACATGAACTAGATTTTCTGAAACTATTATTCAGGGCAGAACCATCACTTACAAGGATGAGAATAACCTGTCATCATTCGTTTGCTGTCTAGGAGAAACTACCTGAAGATTTACAAAGTTTTGCTTTGCTTTTGCAAGCCAAGAATATTTTTGTTGATGCGAATTTCCTGAAATGAATGAGTTGTGGTTGATGGCAGGCCTACAGAGAAGAGAAAACCTCCTTGGCTTGGGCTGAAGGATTTTTGGTTGGCAATAATGCATAAATAGACAAACTACTGTAATTGTGATCACTCTAGATTTTTTACTATACTTCATAACCAAATTGTACATTTTCATTTTGGAATGTTTATTATGTTATCTTCTTGAGATACTCGGAGGCCAAATGATCTTTGAGCAATTTGTGTTGGTTTCAAATCATGGACTTGATTGCCGTTTACTTTGCTACTGTGTATTGCGTTAGGTTTGATAACTGTGAACCTTATGCATCGTATTGCTGAGTAAACATTCTCACCTCTTCACCGTATACGGTAAGAGGTTGATCCTGGACATAATATTTGAACCTTCAGTTGAAATATAGTTTGAGCTGAATCTATAGTTTTAAAATCAAGTTGTATGATTTTGTAAGAAAAAAAATCAAAATTAAGTATGATTGTACATTACAGGCACCCAAAGTTGTGCAACGCACGACTAATTGGCTAGTGTCTCATGAAAATGACAGGCAAACCTAAAGCAGAGTCATACACACAGAGAGAAAACAAGCAAATGGTCATCGTTGGTTTATCAGATCGATCGAGATCCAATACATCACCAAGTGTATTTTCTTGATGAATTTAAACACTGAACTCACTTGTTTGTGGCAGACTTGTTACACCATACAGATCATCTGAATGTGGATGGCATTGCAAGATGATCATAAGTGGCGAAAGGTGAAATATGAAAGGCCACAAAGGTGGCAACTGACAACCTGATAGAGCTAGCCTGATATCAACAAGGGTTCCTGAAAAAAGTTAAAAGTTTGGGGAAAGTTAGAAGTTTGGAAAAAAAATTAGGAGTTTATGTGTGTAGGAAAGTTTTGGATGTGATGTGATGTGATAGAAAGTTGGAAGTTGGGGGTGAACTAAACACGGCCAAGATAAAATGTTCAGACGAAGCAACGTTGAACTATAGGGTAGATTGGGATCCTGACAAAAGCCAACAATTCCAAGTCAACTAGGGGTGTGTTTAGTTCACGCCAAAATTAGAAGTTTGGTTGAAATTGGAACGATGTGACAAAAAAGTTGGAAGTTTGTGTGTGTAGGAAAGTTTTGATGTGATGAAAAAGTTAGAAGTTTGATGAAATAATTTGGAACTAAACACGGCCTAGGAATATTCTGATTTCTGGAGGCATGCATCTTCTTGGATTCTCATTGGAATATTCCAACTTCCAAGTCCACATTGTGAAGAAAGTTGTCCGCAAATAGAATTACATCATCCATTAACTTCTTCAGAATAAGAAAAGACAGGTGACTTATGTGCATGGATGTCCATGCATGGAGAAATAAATCATTGCAATCAAACCTAATGCCAACAAAATGGAAAAAAAATATTCAGGAAAACACTGCAATCTGTGGATTCAAATGTGCCTATTTGCACTGCACTCTACTGTTATAGAACTTGAGTTTTTTGGTTCCTGCAGGGTGAAGCGGCGTATCAGCTGCGTCAGGCTTTCATACGAGGAGCCCCCTTTCTCCATGGCTCTGTGAGCTTTCTCCCCGTACTCCTTTGCCTTCCTCCTCCTCTCGCCGGCCTCCTCGCCGCCGTCCATGAGCTTTGACACCGCCCGCGCGACGTCTGCTCGCCCCACCTGCATGGCGGCCTCGTCGCCGAACAGCAACACGGACGCCGTTGCGCCGACCGGCACGCCGACGCCGAGCACGTTGACGGCGAGCCGCTCGTTAAGGAACTGATCGGTGAAGTGCGGCCACGTCAAGACCGGCACGCCATGGGCGATGGACTCCAGAATCGAGTTCCAGCCGCAGTGGGTGACAAAGCCACCGACGGCGCGGTGCGACAGGATGGCGAGCTGCGGCGCCCACCCGCGGACCACGACGCCGCGCCCCGCCACGCGCGCCTCCAGCGCGGACAGCCATTCTTGCACCTCCGGCATGGCCACCTCCGACTCCTTCACCACCCAGATGAACGGCTTGCCGGAGTCCTCGAGGCCATGGCCGACCTCGAACAAGTACTTGGGGACCTTGCGAGCGAGGCTGCCAAAGTTGACGTAGATGACGGAGTCGGTGTCCATGGCGTCGAGCCACGTGGTGACCACGCTCTGGGCGACGTCGGGCGTGTTTCCGCGCGACGCCATGGCGTCGGCGTCCCGGTTGTAGAGGCAGAACGGCCCCAGCGTCCACACCGGCTTGGCGAGCGCCGCCTCGAAGCACGCGATGAACTCGTCCTCGAGGTCCAGGAACGTGTTCACCACCCCGCCGTCGGCCGTGCGCATGGCCTCCATGGCCGCGTCCCGTAGGTCCTCCCACCCTGGTGTGTTGAAGAACCCTGGCTGCGTGTCCTTGGTCACCTCCACGCGCACCGGCATGCCCGGCACGACGTACCTGTCGTCGTCGCCCTGCTGCTGCAGCCCGTGCGCGGCGGCGTTGAGGTCGCAGAGGGAGTAGAAGCACGACGGGCCATGGAAGAACAGCCGCGGCACGCCGGCGCGGCGCGCCACGCCGGCCGTCCACGAGTTGGACCAGTCAGAGATGATGCAGCTGGGCGGCGCCGGCAGCGCGCGCAGGTACGCCTCGAGCGGCGCGGCGAGCTCGCGCATGACGTCGAAGAACGGACGGAAGTGGGCGTAGTCAGTGATCTGGTCGACGTTCTCGACGCCCGGCGGCAGGCCGGCGTCGGCGGCCGACGGCGGGAACGGGACCTCCACTATCTCGAGCGGCAGCTCGGCGCGCGCGGCGTGGTCGGCGGCGCCGCGCAGGCGCGCGGCGTTCACGGGCGTGACGACGAGGCTGGCGCGGACGCCGCGCTCCGCGAGGAGGCGCGCGAGGTCGACCATGGGGATGGTGTGGCCCTGCGCCGGAAAGGGGACGATGACGAAGTGCGGCGGCGGCGGTGACGTAGCAGTATCGAGCTCAGCCGTGGGCGCCATGGACAAGGTGAGCACGAGCGTTTGCAGCCGGTGCGAGCGGCAGCCACCAGCCAAAAGCTTTGATGGCGTGGCTAACATGGGACGTTGGATATATGGAGTGATTACGCCTAGGGGTGGGAAAAAAAAGGACCGAACCGAAAGAGCGAACCGGAAAGACCGAGACCGAGACCAAAAAGACCGAGACCGAGAAATCTGGTCATCAATTCGGTCCTAGATAGTGAAAGACCGAATTTTGTTCGGTCAATTCGGTTAGTCTCCTCGGATAACCGAATAGACCGAAAAGACCGAATTATCAAAAAATGTCTAAATACAATCTACAATCCACTATGTTTAATAGGATTAAACTCTAATTTTCACATCCCTACTTCTTCTAGGCATGCAACCTAATAAGAGTCTTTACTCATAAATGCTTACGAATTTTTATTGTGATTTTTGTGTTGAAAATTTCCATTATTTCTTTGCATATATGAAAATATTGTTGAATTTCAGTCAGGACCGAGACCGAGACCGAATTTGTCGGTTCTGATAGTTTTTCACATAAATTTGGTCTTCACTTTTCAAAGACCGAAATGACCGAAAGACCGAAGACCGAGACCGAAATTTTCGGTTAGACCGAATGCCCACCCCTAATTACGCTCATAGGTTTTCTAGCTAGCTCCACAAGGTGGTGGGCTAGACAATTTAGACTCGAAGCCTTACCACTTTTAATTATTTGATATTAGGTCATTCGCGTCTTTTTTAAACCATCTAGAGGTCTTTCTGCTACAAAATATATATACTAAGTTCTCACGTGAATGTATATTAATTACCTACTAGCTTATTATATAAAAGATAAAAATTAAATGTGCACCTATGCTGGTGAGAAGATCGAGCTAAGCCCGACAAAGCTCATGAGCTTAGGCCTCGGCTCGTTAAGAGCTCGAGCGGTTCGCGAGTCTCGAGCTTTTTTATTATCCTACTGACAAGTGCACCCAGAAATGTGAAATAGTAATAACCATGGGTCGAGGCTGGGCCAGTGAGAATGTGAGACCCACCAAGGCATCGACCGCACGGTCCGCACCATTGAAACGGGCCACTGCTTGTTTCTTTTCAGAAATTCTTTCATGTTCTTATTTTTGCAGAAAAAAAAAATCATGGCATTCCCTCGTTATGAGTTCATCACTAGATTACACAATACCTCCTTGGAATAAATTACAAATTCTCACGGTCTAAACCACCCCTCCATTTGTCTACTCGCCAACTCACTTCGTACGCATAGATTCCCCACGTTCTTTTATGGGTTTTGCATTGATTATTTTTCTCGGTCCAATCTATATTAGCATCAAACATGAGCAGTGCACTGAACACCCGAGCAATCTTGATTTTAAAGTGATTGCGAAATTAATGGTACCAATGAAAATCTATGGATAACAAATGTAAGTTTGTTTTCAACTTAGTAATTTGACTTTGTTTAATTTTCTGTTCGCTTGGAATACATCCCCTTGTTTATGGTAGTGAGAATGGACGTGTACACCTGCAACCTGCTTTTTGATGATTAAGATTTTCTTTTCTAGCCATTTTTAACCATATCGCTCAACTCTTCCTGCTTTGAGATTTTAATTCTAGTACCTGTGATGGTTTTTTTTGGAAGAAATCTGCTAATTTTAGACAATTAAATTCGTTGCAAGATTCGTGCACAGGCGCACGCTGGTGGGGTGAGAATCGACCCTGCAACCTCCCTATTGCAGCCACACATAAGTGACAGAAAACGCTCTCTCGTTGGTCCTTGACCTCTCATGAATACTCATTATAGTAAAGTTCACCCCTTTCCAACCCCTCTCTCTCCCCACCATCGGCTCATCGCTGGTGAAGGTTAGGATAGGGACTAGGTTCCCTGCTCCTCTAGTACTTGTAGTAGCAATAGTCGGGTTATCCCGTTGGTTCAGGTTCTTCTCGTGGTTTTAATTTTCCCTTTTGATTCTCATGGTGATTGTTGGCGTCGGTTGGCCTCGTCCTTGTGTCTAGGAGCGCTGTCGGGCTTCTCCACGGAGACGAATCACTCCCTGTTGGGCTTCTTCTCCCAGCTGCTACCTAGGATGCCTCCAGATCTGTGCAAAGAGAGGTAACGTCTGTCTACATCGACATCTCCGGCGAGGTCTTTCCAAGGAAGGCGGCCTCATGCTTGATCCTTGGCGACAAATCTTCACTAGGTGGCTGGAGTTTTCAAGTTGCATCAAAGATGTCTCAACCTCCCACTCGTGGAGGACCGAATCTGTATGCCTCTTGGCTTCTTATGTAGCTCACCGCGTTTCTTTTGCTTTCTTCACCAACAAAATACATCTAGTTGTTGTCTTTGGAGTAGCTATGGTCTTTGTACTAATTTCTCTCAAGAACAATAGTAGAAATCTCAAGTGGTGTTGCTAAAATTTCACTTTGCTCATCAACACCTTAGCCTCCATACATAGGAGGAATCATTAGGGATTGAGTGCATTCAGCTCACTTGGTTTCACCCTCCACCGGAAGTGAGCTTCAGATCTTCTTCATCGGTGACAAAGGCCAAGAAGGAGAATGACTCGATTGCTTTTTTTTTCTTTCTAAGTCCTTTTCTACAAAATGTTGAGCAAAAGTGTAATTTGCCCATTCACAAGGGGTTTTTCGCAAAACTGGAAGTGTCCCAGTGATCCGTACTGTTAGCACTGCACTGTAACAACTCATCATATATTATGTTTCTAACCTATATATAAAATAAATGCATGAGTTTTTCTTTATAAAAACCCACCCCCATCACACGAGTGCTCCTTTTGCCACCAAGCTAGCGCTGTGTTTTCTCTTGAACTCAATTTTAATGCTACTAGTCGTATATATATAGTATACGGTGTAACTATGATGTGTTTTTACACCGTAATTACACCGATAGTTTTTTCGCATGAGATTTGTTGATGGCACTATTGGTAGATCTATGCAAGAATGCATAACCACATAGCAAATTAAATGTGGTGGTTTACAAGAATTGGATTAATGGTTTTCATGACACCCGTGCCTGCATAGTCCTATAAATTGGATGGTATAAGATGGGAGAAATTAAAGGACATTATTTTTATGGTTGAGCTAGAGCAATCGGAAATTAAGATAGGTTGTGAGATAGTGGAGCAAAATAAATCAGGCTAATCGGGCTTAAGAGTAGGTACAATAGCAGGTTATAAGCCAGCTGTAAACATATTTTAAGTAGATAAATGAGGAGAGAGAATAGCAGCGGGCTACAGATTTGTAGCTGGCTGTAGCACGGACTCCAAGACACAGTGTGTATGACAGGTGGGACCATGTATTAATAGTGTGATATGTAACTATTGTATGAATGAGCTATTAAATTGGCTATATATGAATTAGAGTTAGTAGTTGGCTATATTATTAAACTTGCTCTAAGACGGGTGCGGTTTGATTTCGCTCTCTTCTAAACTTCTTACAGCAGCCAGCGGTTGGGTATTCGTTATCATAGCCAGCTGTATTATCATTATTGCTCCATTGTGGGGAAGCATTAGAGATTCATGTCCAAGCGGTTGGGTGCTGATTTAGAGCAAGTATAATAGTGAGCTATAAGTCTACTACAAGCTTATGTGGAGGAGAGAGATAACAAAAAAATCAAGAATGTTGGCTCTCATGCAAGAGCTAGCTTAACATAAGCTCCTAGATAAATATATTAAATACATAGGTTAGAGATAGAGACAGGAGAAGATAGTTGTAACCAACCTTATAGCTAATCCATTATATATGTTGGCTTTAAGATGGACTAATAGTAGGAAGTGAGCTCTACTATTATCCTTGCTCTTAGGGCAAGTACTATGGGCATCTAAGCACAAGCCCCAAGATGCCACATAGGACTAAATAGTGAGGTGGAGGAGAGAAGAAGGATGAGAGAGAAATAGTCACCTCTCATGCAAGGGGCAGCCCCTACACAAACTTCAATAAATATGTGAGAGTGTTAAAGAAATTGGAGATTGTGTGGTAGAGGTAACCTATTATACATATCACATCTTAATTTAATTATATATGTCATGCATAAAATTAGATATGGTAGTCACCTATTATAAAACTTGCCCTCACTACATTTTCGCTCTCTTCTAAACTTTTTTTTGTTAGGCGCACTACATTATCGTTGTTGCTCCAACGTGTCCATCGGTGTGTCATCGCGATACTATATCAATAGACCCATATACTCCCTCCGTCACTAAATATTCGACGTCGTTAGACTTTTTTAAACATATTTGACCGTTCGTCTTATTAAAAAATTTAAACAATTATTAATTATTTTCCTATCATTTAATTCATTGTTAAATATACTACTACTACTCAAGTTTTTTAATAATATTCACAAAAGTTTTTGAATAAGATGAACGGTTAAACATATTTTAAAAAGTCAGCGGCGTCAAACATTTAGGGAAGGAGGGTATAAGATTGATATTTTGGTCACCGAGTTATACTACTATTATGATTTACAAATTTATTGTTTTCATTTTACCAGTAACTTATTATCGGGAATTTGTTTTCTGTTTTTTTCATATCTTGTGTCGTTTAACTTTTATTAAAAATATATGGTTGTGGATGACGGATGGTGCAGGAGTTCCTTTGTTGGGGGTTCTGTTAAAAAGAAATATATTCATGTTCTAGTTTTGTACAAGTGCATTAATTTTAGATTAATATGGAGTACATCTAAAATTTGTCACTGTACTCCGTTAGCTAGTGGCAGGACTGGCAGACTTGCTAGAACCTACTCCCTCCGTCAAAAAAAAAAAGACAAATCCTGGTTTCTGTACCCAATATTTGACCGTCCGTCTTATTTGAAAAAATTATGAAAAAAATTAAAAAGACAAGTCACGCATAAAATATTAATTATGTTTTATCATCTAACAACAATAAAAATAAGAATTATAAAAGAATTTCATATAAGACGGACAGTCAAAGTTAGACACGGAAACTCAGGGTTTGCCTTTTTTTTTTGACGGATAGAGTAGTACTACGTGCATGAATTGAATGTGGTCAACATTAATTTCAAGGTGACCATTTGGATGAAGCAATGAAGGTGAGACGCCGTCAAGGCCTTGTTTAGATTAAAAAATTTTGGCCAAAAACATCACATTAAATATTTGGACACATGCATAGACACTAAATGTGAGAAAAAAAAACTAATTGCACAGTTTGGATGTAAGTTGTGATACGGATCTTTTGAGTCTAATTACATCATGATTTGACAATGTGATGCTAAAGTAAACATTTGCTAATGACGGATTAATTAGGCTTAATAAATTCGTCTCGCGGTTTACAGGCGGAATCTGTAATTTGTTTTGTTATTAGTATATATTTAATACTTCAAATGTGTATCCGTATACTTAAAAAAATTTACACTCAAAGAACTAAACACACCCCAAATCCAAATAGAATGACGGGTGACTCAATTGATGTGCATGATGAATTCTCTGCAGCCAGCAAAAATGCATGCATCTATGAAAGTAAAGCTTATTCACTTTGCTACCATTTTTCTAAATTTTAGTAAGGTTATCAAAATTTTGGTAAGATTTCATATGTACTTACTAAAATTTAGCAACAAACTAAATATAGCCACTTTTTCGATAACTTTATCAAAAAAAATGTAAAGTTAAAAATGGTAGCAAAGTGAACAAGCCTTAAATAACTAATGCCAACGAAAATTACTACTCCCTCCTTTCCTTAATACAAGGGATTTTAATTTGCTTGCACTGTTTGATCACTCGTCTTATTTAAAAAATTTGTGCAAATATAAAAAATGAAAAGTTGTGCTGAAAATACTTTGGATAATAAAGTAAGTCATAAATAAAATAAATAATAATACCAAAAAATTTTAAAATAAGACGAATGATTAAACAGTGCAATTAAAATGTTAAAATCTCTTATATTAGGGTATGGAGGGAGTAGTACAACTTCCCCATTGAAAAGGGCAGCTGTCAGCGAAACCCGGCGGTTGTAGCGAAACCATGCAACACACACGAGCTTGGACGCGAAGGAGAAGAGCACAAACAATCACAGTGAACACGATAAACACAGGATTTTTATTTTTTTTGCAAAATTTGCTATAGGACACGTAAAAAAACATGTAAATAGTTGAGAGACACCGAAAAACCATGATATTACTCTAGAACACTACAAAATTTGAGTAATTTGCTGAGGGACACCGAACATATTATTTTTATCATGTCCCGGTTAAAAGTGACAGATATTTTTTTTCTAAATGCCCAGATTGCCCCTGCGTTACCCTCTATACTATATGTTGCCCCAGCTCGACGGCGGCGGCGCTGCCAGCACAGCAGCTACAAAGCCGCTACACCGCTGGGTCGTGCTTGAACTCCGGCGTCTTGAGGTACACGTCGCCGATGGCACGCGCCACCTGGACGATCCCCTTCACCCTCCACGTGCCGCGGGCGTGGACCACGACCTCGCCGTTGTCGGGGTGGAGCGCGGCGAGCTCCCTCCGGACCTCCTCCGAGGCCACGTTGTGCTCAGTAGAGAGCCGCTCGGAGACGGTCTAATCGGCTGCCGCGCGGCGGCCGAGGACGGTGCAGGAGTCGCCGGCGTTGGTGACGTAGAGCATGTTGCCGGAGATGGCGCCCAGGAGGCAGCAGGAGCCCGAGGCGGCCGCGCGGGACATGTTCGGCAGTGACCACCGCAACAGCTGCTAGTACTCCTCGTCGGCCGCCAGGAACGCCTTCCTAATCACGTCAGCGTCCACCACGCCGCTGCACAACGCCGCGAACTCTGTTCAATTTTTGGCGCCAACAAATCAACTAAAGATTCTCAGAACCTTAACAAATCAAAGTAAAAGATGGAGCTCCGCCGCGCACGCGCCGGCGAGCGCACGCACCATGGACGAAAGGGAAGAGGCGGGAGCGAAGAAAGCGGGAGGCGTCGGGGCCGCCATGGCCATCATAGACGCCGGCAAGCGTGTCGCTGGGTGACGCCATGACCTACGCCTGGTCCTCCATCACCGCGTTAGCATGCGCCGCCGAAGCCTCCTCCGCCACCGTCGCCGTCGCAAGCTAGGGTTAGGGACTGGGGATTTTTCGTTCGGTGGAGTGACGCGGGGGCAATCTAGGCATTTCAAAAAAATATCGCCACTTTCAGCCGGGAAATGATAAAATAATGCGTTCGGTGTGCCTCAACAAATTACACAAATTTTGTAGTATCCTAGGGCAGTGTCATAATTTTGCGGTGTTCCTCAGCTAATTACACGTTTTTTACGTGTCCTGTAACAAATTTTGCCATTTTTTTTCTTTGTTTCTTCCTCCTTTTATTGCGTAGAGAAAGTAATACGTGAGCACGCAGGCCTAACTTGCGTGTGGCGAGTGTATGCCACTTGCAACATTTTCTCTGTTTCTTCCTCCTTTTATTGGGTACAGAAAGTAAGACGTGAGCACGCGGACCCAACTTACATGTGGTGAGTGTCATCCCAAACATCTCTAGGGCCGACATCCATTCTTCTACCTTCGATGCAGTGATGGAAAAAAGGCTCAGGCTCATGAGCTCAGCTCGGGCTTGGCTCGGCTCGTAAGCCAAACGAGACAACCCCAAGCCTCCTTTTCAGCTCGTTGCTGAAATGAGCCGAGCCCAAGCTGGCTTGTGAGCCGCTTGTTTCGGA